CCTAGAAACACACAGCGTCTCCCTGACATGGCTGCTTCAACACTAACTGCGGTTACTGAAACCACGCCTTCTTTCTTTGCGTGCACATTTGGGCGCATTATGCAATTATTCCCACAAAGTGACCTAGATATGTGGGGGCGTGTTAGAACGAGCCGTTTTAGGGGGGCGTGGCAGAGTCTTAACTTTGATAAAGTATATCTCTTTGGTTTTGAGACTTTAGTCTTTGCAACTTCAGGGATCTTATCTATGCACAATCAGCTTGTAACACTCCAAAGAGAAAGGAAAACTTGAAATCGCATCATATGACCCCTTGAGTGCTTCTTCGGTTTCTATTTTCAAGTCCAGACTTAAGACACATTTTTACTCTCTCGCTTTTCCGGGCTATTAATTGGGTCACATCACAAACACATACCAGCTTCATCACTGTGTCTGTCACGCGACTCTGTTCCCCTTTCGGGCTCTGTCTTTACATTTATTTTGAAAGATGAAGCTCGCGATTATGGTAAGGGGCGTTACATTTCCGACGAGTGCTTGCAGTGTTCGGCCAATCACAATGCACTGGGTCAGCTGGCCAATCAGAGCAGACTGCGCTTGTCGGAAGGAGGGACTTTGTAAAAACAGTAATAAAAAAAAAATTGTAATATCGGCAATAACAACAGTTTCACATTCAATTAATAGCCCGGAAAGGCGAGAGTAAAAATGTGTCTTAAGTCTGGACTTGAAAATAGAAACCGAAGAAGCACTCAAGGGGTCATATGATGCGATTTCAAGTTTTCCTTTCTCTTTGGAGTGTACAATTTTTTTTTTTATTATTGTTTTTTAAATTTTACTTTATTTTAGAATTTACTGTATTTTATTATTGGTTTTGTTCAGCACTTTGGTCAGTGTAACGCTGAATTTTAAATGTGCTCTATAAATAAAACTTACTTACTTTAATGTACCTGCTTATTGAACTTTCGACAAAATATAATATATTAAAAAATATTTCAATGTTTTTTGTTGAGCAGTATAGGCTTTTGTGGCTCATACAGTGGGAATATGAAGGAAAAAAACATCTCAGGTTACTTATGTAACCATGGTTCCCTGAGTAGGGAACGAGGACACTGCGTCCTCTAGGCCATAGCGACCCCTAGAGGATGCAGTTCGAAGTTCCCTTGAAAGGGAACAGCTCCTATTCAGAAACTCATACTGAGCAGAAATATCAATTTGGTGCAGATGCTGATATTTATATGATGAAATTCTGATGCTTGTAATGCAAATCAATGAGATCTTTATAACAGTACAGCAGATACTGACATAAAATGATATAAATATCAGTCTGTTCCTCACACAATGCATCAGGTGACTTCAGAAAGCTGAAATAATTCGTCCTATAGACTTTTGCTCTGTATTTTAATGTCATTTTTAAACCTTGAGAGCATTCTTGTGCTATATTTCTCCATGTGAGCTCGAGGTAAGTTAGTTATGTGACAAAGCTCATAAATCGCCTTACATTTGAGTTTTAGCAGCTTGTCTCTGGGCCTTTCGCTCTTTCCTCTTCTGGTCAGGCGGCTTTGCAAAGACGATTTCAATTTGTTCTCCTTCCAAATCCTTTCCATGCATTTCAGCTAGAGCCTGCGAAAAAACCCTGGTTAAAATCTGTGCATAAATTACCAGCAACCTCTCAAATGATGCAGAGGAAGAGATAATTACCTTAACGGCGCTATCTCTCTCTTCGAAGTGGATGAAGGCGTAGTCTTTAAGCTTTTTAACTCTTTCCAGCTTGCCAAACTGACAGAACGTCTTCTCGAGAAGCTCTTCCGTTACTGTGCTCGCCAGGTTTCTTACAAAGAGGACTTTGACCTAAACAATACATGCAAAAAATTCTTCAGTATAAACCTGACCATTTATAATTCAAGGCTCTGGCATGTGAATCTCATTTAGCAAACAGGAAAATATTTTGCATGGAGAAAAAGACAATTTAGGATATTTTCTCATCTAGCATTGGCGTAACAAATAAGCACAAATGACCTTCAAATTTAAAAATCGTTCTCATTGCTGTAATGTGTTCAGTGTAAAGGTTTTGTGATTCTCATTCCAACTTCACAGCTCCACTTGACTAATATCGTCAGTATACACATTTTATTTATGCACGCACTTCACGGCTTCTCCAATTACTGTAATGCTAAATAAAAGATAACAGGATTATTTTAAGTAGTCTAGAGCTGAAAGAGTAGAATTTTTCTTCAAATCTTGCATGCCGCTTACATGCACAGAAAAATAGTGTTCTAAGTTCTACAGATGGTGGCGCCAGGAGCAGATTTGGTAGCGCTGGGGGTGGTTTTAATCATTTAATCATAAAATTACTATTGTTTTGCATTAATAAGTGCAGTTACTAATAATATTACATGTTAATTTCTTGTTTATTTTTCTAATGTTTATGGTTTATACAGATTTGACAGGAAAGCACTAAGCTTTAGTTAAGTGCATAGTATACAAAATTTACTTTTATTAACAGTAACAGGTGCAAAATCTAATTTTTATATAGAAAACGTATATATTCCACTCTTATTAAATGTACCATTATTCTTCTAGTATATGGAACTGACCCAACTTCAGTGATTGTGTGAGATTTAATAGCAAATTGAATAAAAGTTTGTTTTTCAAGGCACTTGGTGACTTTTCTTACTTCATACACAAAAAAAGTTTAAAAGTCTGACAAAATATATATTACAAGATATTTTATAATAGTGATTTATAATTTCAAAATATAGAGGAAAAAGTAGAAATGAATGACTAATTAAGCCAATAAGTGCTCCTCTGCTGCCGTCTACTGGTTATAATTGTGATTTGATGTATTTTTTTAATTTTACATTTTAGTGTTTGTTTACCTCAAAGTATATTTTGGTCATCCCATTAAAAATAACATTCAAACTGGATCATTTTAAAGCTTTAAAGTGCTAGAAACTGTTGTGTGAAATGCTTGAAAGTCATTGAGAAGTGCTTGAATTTCTCTCTCAAAGGGTTGTACAAACCCTGAAATGAATAATGTAATGCATTCGAGTATTTCTGCCACAACACCGTGGTTTACAGTTAGCGTCACCGCTTCTGGTTTTCTGACGTGTGTCAGCACTAGGGCTTTTCTACTCAATTTTAAACGTTGTCAAATTTTAAACAAATTAAGCGTGACAGCGGTTTAGTTTCATTTCGTTTGTCGTTTGAGGTTTCTCAAATGCAACAGAAATGGCAGCGCTTATGAGTTGGACAACGCAATGGTCGCGCCAGTGCAACCATTTGGTCGCAGTCTGGAGCCCTGGGTATCTTAACCATATTTCCAACAAAATCCAGTATACTGTGATAAATATGGTTATCATGGAATAAAATTACTCATCGTGATATAAAACGTTGGTCTTGTCAGCACCCTTCCCTCACCGATTCGTGCACTGCTGCTAGTGGAAAACAACATACCTTTGCCATGACTTCAGGGTCGGGGTCTTCAATGGGATCAGCCCATTCTACCGTCACCACATTCCCCCACACCTTCACTTTGCCGCTCATTAATCTACGCCGCGCCTGGGCTGCTGTTTTATGATCCTCGTACTCTAGGAAGCAGAAGCCGCGATTCTTCTTCTTGTCGTCAGGCTGATGGTATAAGATGACGTCATTCAAGCCCTCTGTTGAGATTGAGGATGGATAAGTTATTTCCTGGAAAACTGTCTATTGACACGAATCCATCACAAACGCTTGACTCTTCAGTTAATCAAACAAAACATATAAACGGACAAATTCACTGCAGACGTGCAGCTCTTCTGAATATACTTTCAGTATTAGACGAACCGTTTTTTCCATTACAATAACAGATAATTAATATGAACAAAAGCTTTTCACTTAAAATAGTGCTGAACTTATACTTAGTAATAACTAGCAAATTTTCAGTAATTACTAAATGACAAATTTAATGCTCTACTGACACAATTTTATTATTTTTACTTACTGAACTAAATACAAATAATTTACAAGGGGGGAAAAAGCAACTAAAATCTTAAGGTAATTTTAAAGCATTGTGTATTTAATCATGCATTTGAAATGTATTTTATATTTCTTTTGCACAAACATTTCATAAGTTCACTTTGTTAGAATAGAGTTAGGTTTAGAAAACTAAAGCAGAAATAGGTTGGTCCTGTGCATGTACATATGCACAATATTAAGTGTTCTTTGTCTTTGCACAAGCAAAACAGCATTTTTCACATTAACATGATTGATATTAACTTGAAATTATGATTAAACAAATCCTCATCAGAGATCTCATGTTTTTATTACTGTAACAAATGTGTGACCACAAAACCAGTCACAAGGGTCAATTTTTTTAAATTGAGATATATACATCTGAATATATATACAGCTGAATAAATAAGCTTTCCATTCATGTATGGTTTATTAGGATCGGACAATATTTGGCCGAGATACAACTATTTGAAAATCTGGAATCTGAGGGTGCAAAAAAATCTAAATACCGAGAAAATCGCCTTTAAAGTTGTCCAAATGAAGTCCTTAGCAACGCATATCACTAATGATAATACATTTTTGATATATTTACGGTAGGACATTTTCAAAATATCTTCATGGAACATGATCTTTACTTAAAATCCTAATGATATTTGGCATAAAAGACAATGTACAAAGTATTGTTGGCTATTGTTACAAATATAACCGTGCGACTTATGACTGGATTTGTGCTCCAGGGTCACATATGACCATCCTCAATCCTTCTTTATAAAAAATAAAACAGAATTATGTGATTTAAGATGAAAGCTGAGAAGGTCTTATTGCTAGGACCTTCCAGCGCAAATAAAAACAACAGCAAACTACAGGTGTTGATTTTCCTGGTAATCTGCAAACCAATGCATCAGTCCATTTCTAATGCATCTCAACAGTTAATAACACCATCACGAACCCGTAACTTTGGCGAACTCCTCCACGATCTGCTCCTTAGTTTTGCTCTTGGGGATGGAGCCCACAAACAGACGATTGTTGGCAACAGAGATGCACACACCGAGGTGTTTCCCGGGCCGAATTTCATTGTTGTTACACTGCAGGAAAGATTACAGTCAGAATCTCAAAAACCGCAGGTGGATAGAAACAAGCAGACAATCACTTACGAGCTTGACGGCTTGCAGAGCAGCCTCTTTAGTGCAGAAGGTGATGAAGGCGTATCCTCGGTTCAGCCCGCTGAGCGGATCCATCATCAGACGCAGATCCCATATAGGGCCGGCTTTCTCGAACAGAGGGACGAGCTCATCTTCAAAGAGATCTCTCGGGATCTTTCCCACAAAAATCTGAGAGCGTTTGAGGAAACAAGATCAGCCACAACATACAGAGTGATGTCCATAAATACAGTACAGAGTCAATCTTACTGAAACAAACATTATATTGTCAGTAGACCTGGGTGATATGGCAAAAAAAATTATTATTTTTTTTTTTTTCAGAACGTTTGACTTATTCTCGATTTTTACGATTTTCATCTCGTTCATCATGTGCGCCGACATGCGGTCGGATCATTCTTTTCTCTTTACTGTTGACATTGACATATTGTCAAAGTGTCTAATTCTAACATTTGGTAATATTTCGATTCAAAATCGTGATTCCTCAATTTATAAAAAAAAATAGCAATTTCCTAGCAATTAGGGGTGTGCGATATTGACAAAAAAAATGACATGTTACTACTCTCTGGTATCCTTGTTAAAGTGTAATTACACAATTAAATACCGAGTAATATTAATAAAAACACATACTATAGATGGATAAGGCTAGGGTTAGTTGATTGTAATTATGCAGAATTTGCTGTCATTACTATAGTAAGTACATGTAACGTGTAACAAAAACACCGTAAAATAAGTTACCAACCAAAATTTGCCCCCTTGTACTGATTTCCAGGGGCGTTTTTGCCTTTTGAAAGGCAATTTTTACCTTATTAGATGTATGCATGATGTTTTGTGTGAAATTCTTATTATTCTAATTGATTTATTAAACATAAGACATTATAGGCAATTACAAATCAAATTAAATCAGTATCAACAAAATCCATTTTTGCACTGAACAAGTAGCACAGAAGCTGCATCTAAAGCAGCATTTAGATGTATTTATACTGCAATTACAATTTCATAATTGTATGAGAAAAATGATATCTAAATTTTTAAATACTTTGAATATGAACTCAAAACTGCCAATAAGTGGTGGCAATTCAAGAGGCACGGAGTCAAATAAACTGATTTGTTCAAAACGGATTCGTCTTTATGAATGGATTAATGATTTGTTCAAAAATGTTGATTCATTCGGGAACTAAACGCTGTGTTTACACACAATGTATGCATTTGTAGAGTGTACATTTTAGGGATTGTGCACGAGTCAACTACCTCTACCCCAGCAATTAATTGATAAGTTAAAACACTACGCAAATTGATTCCCCCTTCCATGCAGTGTGCAATAATGAAATGTATTGTCAATCACCTAAATCTCACTATGCAAATGCAGGTGACGGCACTGTCAATGTGACACTGATATGATGCCGTATGCTTTAAGGTGAAGTCAAGTGCAATACTTTCATTATCTGGCAGTCTATTTTTGGTTTTTATGCAAGCTCCAGTTGAGTGTTTTAATGAACTGATTAACACGTCTAAGCAATGGATGCCATACAGTGCATTTTTAAACATCTTCAAAACAGAATCTAAAGTAGTGCAGAATAAAACAGGCATCAGTCCCTCACACAAACTAGTAGTGTGTTTTAACGACTACAGCACTAACCTCTGTGCCGACGGTGGGCTGAACTCCAGCATGGGTCGACCCTGGAGGAGGACCGCCATACTTGCGCTGGCCTGTCGTCACATCAAGTGTATAGCCAGTTCTCTCGAGCAAAGCCTGTGAAGTAGAAAATAAAAACACTTGACCGTCAGACAGGTACTGGATCAATAGAAAAGAAAGCAGCAACACAAACAGCTACACAGAATGAACAATAGATAGACAGGTGGATAGATCATTCAACTTTAGGAACTAAAAAACCTGACTTACTGGCTGCATAGACTTACTTTGATTTTGGCCTCATCTGGTCCTTTAGTGGAGTCTGACACTTTGGTCCCCTGTTTCTCCCTCTGCCTGTACGTCTTCATCACTCCACAGAGGAAGGCACTTTTATTCTGTTCAAAACATTAGCAACGGGTGAGCAGGTGTGTTTCAGGGCTAAAATAAAAACCAGGGTTCGACAATAAGAAGTGATCAATGGCCCGGGACAGCGGACTCTTGTGTGTCTTATCGCACTTGAACAGACAAATACAAGATGGACAAAGACACTGTCTTCGTAAAGACAGTGTGTTATGTGTTAAAGGGACAGTTCACCCAGAAATTAAAATTAGCCCATGATTTACTCACCCTCAAGGCATTCTAGGTGTGTATGACTTTCTTCTTTCAGACGAATACAATCGGAGTTATATTAAAAAATGTCCTGGCTCTTCCAAGCTTTATAATGGCAGTGAATGGGTGTTATTTTTTTTTAGAAAAATATCCATATTTAAAACTTTATAAACCGTAATCTCTAGCTTCCGCTAACTGGTACGCGCGTGTTCACGAGAGAGTGGTGTTCCAGCAATGACGTAGTATAATTATTCATAAATCGGTTGAAAATTACATGGACAGATGGACTTATGTTTGTGAAGCGATCTGGATCTGCGGTTCATCTCATTTTATAAATCAAATTGCATCGCTGAGAAAATGGATGTTAACTGACTACAAAGCACTGCACAAAACCGTGCAGCACCAGAAGTCACATTAATGTTTAGTAGTGTTCAATTCACTTGTATTTATTTATATTGATACACCGTTTACTATTTCATGAAACTATCATATTTAATGAAGCCCAAGCACCCCTACAGGCCTATTATGTGAAGTGTAGGCTGCCGAAATGGTGACGTGAAAGGACTTCATCATATTACCATTTTTAATAATTATGCAGCATTATAAAAGTCTCTTATGCTCATCAAGCCTGCATTTATTTGATCAAAAATGCAGAAAAATCTGTAATAATGCTAAATATTATTACAATATAAAATAACGTTTGTTCTATTTTAATATACATTAAAACTAATTTATTCCTGTGATGCGCAGCTGTATTTTCAGCATCATTACTCCAGTCTTCAGTGTCACATGATCTTCAGAAATCATTCTAATATGCTGATTTATTATCAATGTTGAAAGTTGTGCTGCTTCATTTTTTGTTTATTTGTTTTTTTTGGAACATGTGATACTTTTTTGGGGTTCATTGATAAGTTTAAAAGAACAACATTTATTCAAAATAGAGATGTTTTCTAACAATATAAATCTTTACTATCACTTTATCAATTTAACAAATCCTTACTGAATAAAAAACTAATTTCTTAAAAAAAATAAATAAATACTGACCTTAAGCTTTTGAACAATAGTGTATATTGTTACAAAAGTTATACTTTAAATAAATGCTTTTTTTTTTTTTTTTACTTTTTTTTTTACTTTCTGTGCATCAAAGAATCTTGGAAAAAATGTATCATGGTTTCTACAAAAATATGAAAGAGCTTCTGCATGTTTGTACCTGTAGGAGGTTGATCTGGAGAAAAAATAACATTTTTACATTGCCCCTTTGTGACATTTGAGCCCCTGAGGAACTCTCTGCACGTCACTGGACTATTGAATAACACCCATTCACTGCCATTATAAAGCTTGGAAGAGCCAGGACATTTTTTTATATAACTCCGATTGGATTCGTCTGAAAGAAGAAAGTCATACACACCTAGGATGGCTTGAGGGTGAGTAAATCATGGGCTAATTTTCATTTTTGAGTGAATGTAAACTGTTGAAAATCAGATGTGTCAGTATATTAGATCTGTGCATTGGACAAATGACAGAAAAAAAATCACTCACTGCTCTTGACTGAATAACTTCTGTAGCTTTAATAAGGATTCATCTATATTTCATCTATGCAGAGAAGACAGTGTTATTTTACGTATGATTATTACATTTCTGTACCTGAATACTAATGAAAAACTTCCAGCACTGCTTATTTCATTTATATCTTTGTATTTATTTGTGCTATAACTCATAAATTTAGTTGTTCTTCATTTTTTTAATGTGTCTACTTGTCTTTGATGACGACTGAACTTGAAAGTAGTTTTTGCTGTACAATCAAAATTGAAATCGAGAATCTTTAATTTAAAAAACTTTTAATTTATGATAACTAGAAAAAAAACTACCCATTTGTTTTATTACTATATGCAAAAAAATAAGCACTACGTATCAATGATAAATGTAAATCAAACTTAAATTTTACATGAATGTACATTTTATTCCATACTCAGGCATTTTAAATATTATGATTTACAGCTCTCAATTAAAGATACATCATAGCATAAAATAAACAATGAGTACCAAAGGTAAGTAAAAGTGCCTTTACACCCTAAGATAGTGAGGTTGTGTTACACAGCATGAGTCCAGCATTACCAAAATAAACTCTCAGTACTTTCGGTGTGCGACTGCATTAGTTAGGCCTTCTCAAACATACCTGAACATGCGACAGGTCGCTGTCTTTGAACTGCAGGAGAACTTGCAGCGCGCCCTCTTCATTGAACTCTTTCAGAGCTTCAATCGCTCGATCATCGAGATCGCTGTGAGACACGAGTCCTGCACAAAAACACATCCTTAACACAATACATTTCACTTCGCTGGATGTTATCAGACACCATGTTAAAAGACGTGATCTGAACTACTGCAGTGCTCTCCTCAATTGATGTCGTGTGTAATTTGACACAGTAGAGCAGAGCCATTGACTGCATCTCATAGACGTTAATCATCTAATCACGAGCAGCTGCTGTCATTGTTCCCGCATGTGCGCATTCGGCAGCATGCTTCCTCTGACGCCAGACAAGGAGAAGTCGTGTTAGCCGTTTGATTTGTTCTTAAGGTTCAGATCACAGTTCATGCAAAATTAGTAATCAGTTAGGCTGATACCAATATTCAGTTTCCACTGCTTAAACCATTGCTGGCTCCTTAAATATTATATGACGTGTGGTCAGTGTTTACAGATCACAGTCAACAACGGCATTACAGCAACATACATTCAACAGGACAAAGCACTGGCTTCAATGTACTGCATGAATTACTGTCACAGTCATTAATTGTCAATAAATGTGTAAGAGATAGTTCACCAAAATTGTCTTTACTCACCCTCCAAACCTGCATGAATTTCTTTCTTCTGTTGAACATAAAAAGATTTTGAAGAAAGTGGGCAATAAAACAGTTGTTGGTTCCCACTGACTTTCTTAATATGCAAAAAAAAAAAAAACACTATGGAAGTCAATGGAGACCAGAAACTGTTCAGTTACCCACATTCTTCAAAATATCTTCTTCGGTGTTCAGAATAAATGCATTCAGACAGGTTTGGAATGCAGTGACCATATGAAAATTTTCATTTTTGGGTGAACTATTCCTTTAACAGTTGGACAGCCAAAAGTTTTCAGCCATTTCAACCATCCAGCCATCAAAACAGCTTAAGATATGAAATCAGTTTAATTTTTTTTCTCAAATTCCATTTTATTTTGTTCCAAATTCATTTTTTTTCAGTTTTACTTTTTCTCTTTTTTTTTTTTTCTGTTTTCATTTTTCTAGACTATTTAAATGGTTAAAAAAATCAAATCAAATCAAAAGCAACTAATTCATTGATTTTATTTAAAATATATATTTTATTAGTAATTTATTTATTTACCCCAGAAAAAAAAGTGTTGTATATTTACATTTTTCTGGTAAATAAATTCTAGAAAATAAATGTTCTGGTAAATACTCCTTACATTTTTTTTTAAATAATAATTATAATTATAATAATGTTTTAATAATAATTTTATTAATAATAGTAGTACTATCATTAGATTAGGTAAAATATTTCTGTCACAGTTTCTTTAAGTTAAACCAAAATTTTATTTACAAGATTTGCTGTAAAGACCTTTAAGTTTCTGTTTGTACATGACGACAGTTTTTCTCAAAAGAAACTATAAAATGCTCATGAAGTGAGCTCATATATTGAGGCGGCAGACGCTGAAAACACTGCGAGCATCGCGCGCTTCAGTGTGTGAAACCATTCATTCACACAGAGACGGAACAGTTTTTGCAGGACTCATATTTAAATAGTCTTTTTGCGGCTTAATATTCACAGACACTAGTCCATATCGCGATTTGATTTAAGGGTAATGACCTACTTTTGATTTATTCATCCAAAATTTGGCAAATTCCGTTACATTCAGCATTATACAGTAAATTCCATTTTTATGACTGGATTTCACGATTCTGTCCGCGTTTCCCAAATTGTGGAAATCATACATAAACAATACATTCTACATATTGGTTATTGGGTATATCATTAGTGCCAGTAGTGAAAAAAAATAATAGTACACAAAACGCCATGGTCATGGGTTCAATTCAAAGGAGAAAAATGTATACTTGAATGCATGTATATACTTGAAGACACTTTGAATAAAACATCAGGAAAAAGCATAAATGTGAAATATTGGAAGTTGTGAAACGTGCCACAAACAAATACCACAATACAAAACTAAAGGTTCTTTATTGGCATTGCTGGTTCCACAGAGAACATTTAACATCCACAAAAGGTTCTTTATAGTGGAAAAACATTCTTTAGATTATTAAAATGTTCTACAAACACACTCAAACAAAAACGGCTCTTTTCACAACTCTTGACTGAAATGTCCTTTGGGGAACCAAAAACGGTTCCTCCATTTCTGTTTCAAACCCCACATTTAGGAAGCTTTATTTCTAAGAGTGAACATTCAGTCGTATGTAGAGTTAGATGTGTAATGTCTCACCTGCTATGTAAATCTCATCTAGTTTGACTGCAACTTTTCTAGGTAAGCCGGCGTCTAGTAGCGTCTGGAAGTGCTCTGAATGGGTAACTGCCGCTGAAGACTCCACTGGTTCATCCGAACCATTTCCATTTATATGCTCCGTGGCCATGTCTCCGGGACCTGTGCAGATGTAAGGGGCCAAATTAATCCAAAACTGGGTCAAAGTTGAGCGATCTGGTGCCTGCCGGCTGTCTTCATCACCACAAGTAGAGAGATGCTGAAAGGCTGCAGGACAAACTTGATTTTACTTGCAAGCAGCGTTTAATGCTTATAAACAGTATGTTTACTCTTTTACTATTATGCAGTATGCATGCAGTTTTTATTAGAATACAGATAACCTGTCAAACCACCATTTGCTCCAAGGAACCACATTCACAGGAATAATGTATTACGCTGTTTTGATTAAAAAAAAAACAGCCATTCTTGAGAATCAAATGAGAAAGATTTAATTAAACATATCCTGAAACCATTAAGACTTAAAAAAACATGCATGATTAATCGTTATATAAACATTACAAAGGCTATTGTTTATTATTCTCTAAATTCATAAAGCACTTTTTTAATATTGCAGCCTACTGATCATATAGTTATTAGGTGAGTCAAAACATAGAAATAGGCCTAATTGAAAAAAATTGTTCATGCACATGAGTTATTAGACGATTAATATCTGTATCAGTCCTAAAAAAGAAATATCAGACTCTAGTTTTTGATCTCATCATTTGAGATATTACATGGGATTTTTACACATATTAGACCACAGCATGATTTATGTGAATAAGTGATGGCAAAAAAGTGCAAATGACTCTATATTACTACTTCATATCTCAATGTAGTATTCATAGACAACTGTAAGACATTCCTAGTGGTACATTTAAGACACTGCTGTTTGTTTGGATATCACAGCCAGCCTGACACATTAACAATGAGCCAATCACTGCTTTGGGGCAGGACAATCCGTTTGTCTGGCCAATGGCAGATGAAGGAAGTGTTCAGAAAAACCTGTTTGATAACAGCCATTTCTGTCTGCTGATGCTGTGCCCATAGACTGAATAAAAACATGGACGTAGTGTCCGTGACGTCACCCGTAGGTTTCTGAAGAGCATTTTTAAGCCTAATGTGGGCGGAGCGGGCCGTCGCCATCTTGGAAGCGCGTCACTCCTGGATAATCGAAAATGGGCAAAGAGGCGGGACGTGGGTGGAGCTGGTTGCTGAAGCCAAGCCCACCTAGCTCGACAGTGGTGACAGCAGCGCAAATCCACTGTCACTCAAGTGGTCACGCCCTTAATTATGCATAACTTTAAGGCTTAATATAATTTAAATGGATGAGTTATTAAAAAATTCACCCCCCTCACAGCTGTCATGATGGGCAAAATTAGCTATATAGACTAAAACCACTTTGGCCAATCAGAGCAGACTGCGCTTGTCGGAAGGAGGGACTTTGTAGAAAACTAAGCGTTTGAGAGAGGCGGGGCATAGAGGACCTACAATAATGTACAGTATTTGAAAAATAATGTGTTTTTTGAACATTAAAGCATGTCAACATATTCTGATACACCAAATACACAAAATAATGATCTTTAAAAAAGCATCATATGACCCCTTTAAGTGACTTCCGTGTTGGTTTCAAGAGAGAGACCGGAAGGTTGCCGCTTGCTTGTGCCACATTAATTACTCTTCACTTATGAACTGTGACCAATTACAGCACTTAAAATATCCACTTTAAATTAATTTCATACTGTGCATTTTCAAATCTAACATCTTGTTGCTGAAAAATAAAAATTACCCAATGCTAGGGATGGGCGTATCGATCCTGAAGTATCGAAAGTATCGATACTTATTTAACAAAAAATGTAATGCGTACAATATGCAACAACCTATGTTAGCGAATAACTGTAGGATAGAACTATTTTCCTGCTCATCTGAACACGCAAATGATGCAAGATAGAACTAATGTAATGTATTCAAACTGGGCTGCATTTCCCAAAAGTATCATAAGAAACCATTGATGCTTTTGGGAACGGCAGCCCAGAACAATGCTTATCAGAGGACAGAAAAAACATATGTTTGAGTTATTTCACAATAAACAAACTGAAATTGTAGCCTATAGTTTGTGCAATTACATTTATTTAAATTGAACGTTAAAAGTTCATATTGATCATGTTCTATTCTGTTATGTTAATAATATAAATCATACACTGTCAGAATAAAAAGGTTGCATTTTATGCGTGCAACAGCCTTTTAGTGGCAGTCCCTTATGATAATGAACCATGATTTTACTAAAGTGACTGTACTTATTAGTATTATTAAACTATAGTATTAGTAGATTTCCATGGTTACCACTACAGTAAACATATTTTAACCACATGTAAACAAAAACATAACCTACTAAGTTGCAATTAAAGCGTATTGAATGTTAAAATGTGCTTCAAATATAAAGTTAAGTGGATATCATTACCCATTTTACTCTTAGTAATTTAATACATTTCATAATTCAAAAGTTTAGAAGTACCATATCAGTATCGACGATACTGGCCTTTAAAAGTATCGGTATCGTATCGAAAAAACAAAATAAGTGGTATCACCCATCCTTACCCAACCCAAATACTGAATTACTCTACTTTGATGCCAAACCCCCAATACTTGTTAATTTCTATCGTTCATAGAGCTTCCATGCCATTACAAAGTACTGTGAAAGTACCATGGTACTGAGATGGTCTCAGATAATACCACGGTACTGAACGACTGCCTCTTATATAGCAGGCTATCAGCTGTTTGTTTTGCTATATTGAGATACTGAGGCATTGACTCACAGCATTGCCATTTTTTAACCATAATCTCAATATGGCCAAAAATGGGTCCAATGCTCAAGCAAATAAGCATCAACGTCTTCAAAACTTGAGAATGTGCTTGAGAGAAAGCTGTCAGCACAAGTAGGCTATTTGTCATTTATCACATTTCAAAGATGTATTATATTTCACTTTAATGCAACTCAATCATACAGAGACATTGTATTGCTCAGCTGGTCCTGTAGACACATCAGCACTCTTGTCTGACCCAAACTAACTACCATATTCGTAAACATTGCATGCATACCACATTTATAACATTTCAGCCGGTTATTGTTAATGGAATGCGAGAAGAAAGCGCAAAGGCATCGATCACGCGCTGTATCTGTCACTCAGACCTGCACGTGCTCCGCCGGCCGACTGGTTCCCGCTCCGGCAGCACGTGCGCTAGCTTCAGCCCGCAGGCTACAGACCAAACGGCCCTTTCTGACACAAAACCAGCGCAATTCACCGCTTCATCGGATCATGTGAACACAAAAGCGTTTATTTACATAACGCGCGACTCGCTTATTCCCGGCCAAACTAGTTGGTGTGGATTAAACCAGGTGTTCTGGTCGGGCTGTGTCTCTTTGTTGTGTCAGATGCTGAATGACAAGGGCACACTCGCTAGGCCACAACACATGAGCTACGTGGACACCCTGCGCGCTGATAAAGCCTGTTTTCAGCCCCTCCTAAAGCCGTTCAGCAACACCTGACACCTTATCCACATTAAAAACAACACACGAACACTTACGCCAAAAGCTTTAGTCATGGTTGGTCGTGTTAAGTTTGTTTGTTTGACAACGTGTGTGTGTGTGTGTGTGTGTGTGGGGTGTGGGGTGGGGGGGGCGATCTCGGGTTTGATCCGCCAGCAAACAACCACCACATCATGACTTTACCACACTATTTCACCAGTGTCCGAGCACGGAAAGCTAACGACAGTCGCTGAATTGCGCCTAAATGTGCGAGAACGCCGCGAGACGCGACGCGCCACAGAAGCCGGTGCGATCACGAAGCGTCACTTTCACCGCGAACACAACCGACTCTGCCTTCATCAAATCTCAAGAGAACGTTCTCATACCTGTCAGTTAATATCTTGGATTATGTTGGGATAAATCCAGAGGGAAATGTACTGAAAGAGGATAAAGTGGCCAAACCCCGCCGTGTGTCTGCTATCTCACTCTTTTCAATAGGTCTGATGCAAAATGGCGGCGAAACTCATGCCGCGGGAGTTTTTTTTCCGCTTCCGGTTGTACGGGGTTTCTCACGCAGCCATTGGAAGGGTCACATTACACACACTGCGCTCGGACTGGCATGCTGTCTCACTGCGTACTGTATACTGCGCAATGTGCTGCATACTGCTTACTGTTTCCGGCTAACTACTTACTGAACAAGCACAGTATGTAGTGTATACAACCTAGTACTTTTAAAAAACAGTTTCAGATAAAACAGTAGAGCTGCGTCCCCAATGCATTATACACTATATGTACTCAACCATGTAGTGTATGAATTTTGAGTTTATTTTGTCATTCATAATCGGAGTCTAATAGCCCCTCCCCCTTCGCAGTTGAGTGCATGAAGTGTCCAACGCTGCATCCGAAATTGCATACTTCCCTCCTATATAGCCTAGTAGGTGAAAAACAGTATGTGAGGCGAGTAGTATGTCCGAAAAACAGTGGGCGAGGAGTACCCGGATGACGTACTTCTTCCGTCTGTATTCTGAAGTGCGCCTTCGATGGACACTTTACTATCCCATGAGGCCACGGGAGAGGAGTTATGAACGACTATTTATACTACAAAACATCATAGACTAGTGCATAAGTACGCAATTTGGGACGCACCCATAGGGCTCTGTCCCAACTGGCTCAAAAAGCCCTTGGTCTTTTCAACTTCACTTAGGCTGTGTTCGAAACGGCACACTAGCTTACAACTTACTGCCCAGTACACAGTGTATACTACCTACTATTTTTTTTTAAGAATAGTGTGTGAAACAGTATACAATAAGCAACAATTAGGTGGCAGATATTAGGTATATTAGTAGTTAGGTGGCAGATATATCTTCAGTACTGTAGTACATTATAAAACAGTATGTAATAACATATTGCGTGTAAATTATCATATTTATTAATGTCATTAAATGGATGTCGCCTTATTGGGACAATAAAGGCCTCCCTATACCAATTTTGCTTGCATAGTTTAAATATTATTTCATTTGTATACATTATTTATATATTATATTACTGCAATATTATTATTATTATTTAATATCTTTGAAACAATCTGTACTGTATAAAGCGCTATAGAAAGGTGACGTCATTTGACTTGATCGGAAACGTGCCGTAGAGATACTAACGATATTGTTTTTAGATACAGAGCAATAGTTTGTAGTTTACAGTAACATGTATATAAGTACATATAAAAGTGTTACATTTATAATTACTATCCCCCGCCTCCAGTTCACTCACGCATTTGAAAATGAAACGTCACGTGGAGCGCGTTGCATTGTGAGAAACAGTAACCCATGCAGCGATCCTCAGATGCATTCATCAGATTTCAGCAAATGCAGCAAGTAATCCGGGTATTCCATGCATACAGAAAATTCACATGCTATTCATAGTATACACATAGCATACACTGTAAAAAATCTGTGACATTTACGGTAAAATACCGGCAGCTGTGGTTGCCAGAACTTCACCGTAAAAAATATGCTAGCAACATTTTAGGTTTTACAGACTTTTAAATTCACAATAAAATACCGTATTTCATTAACTGATGTAATATTAATAAACCAACATAATATCTGTTTTGAACCCTTGTAATGCACTGATAACCACCAAAAACTGGTGGTGATGAGAAAGTCACATGATGAACCAAAGCTCATCACAAACAGTTTTTCTTCAAGCTGAGGAGGGCAATATTTATATATAGAAGGTGCACAGTCTCATTCACACAAACACTAAACACCATCACGGTAACACACATGATACTGAAATAATGCAATAAACATTCATTTAAAAACATTAGATGTAAGATAAAAACCCTAATGTAGGCTACACAACTGATAAGAAAAAACTAAGAAGAAACATATTTATTTCAACAACAACAACAAAAAAAAACATCAAATATGAAGTGTCATGCAGGGAATTCTGGGAGTGTCAATTTACGTTTTTTCACTGTAAATTATACAATGGCTTTTTTTTTCACTTCCAAAAAAAACGTATTTTTAACAGTATTTTACTGTAAAATTCCATTAAATGTAATTACATTTATTCACTGTATATAGTATGGAAACTTACCGTTAACCAATTTTAACAGGTTTTTACCGTAGCATTTTTACAGTCTTTTACTGTTAAAATCACAATCATGTTTTACAGTGTACTGCAATACAGTAGGAGTTGTATGGCAGTGTATAGTAGGTAATCCGGGTATTCCATGCATACAGAAAATTTGCATACTATGCATACATACTGGATACTGCATAAATAGTAAGAGTAGTATGATATTTAGAACAGCATATTTTTAACAGCTACTGCTTCTTGAAGCTTCGAAACATCAGTTAAATTCAGAATCTTTTGTGCACATGAGGCTTTGTTATACTGTTTCTGGTTTTAACTGATCTCGGGTCAGTTTTAGTGTAGGTGTATTTTTAATTATGAATTATTAATTATCATAATACTATACTTACTTCCAAAAAAAACGTATTTTTAACAGTATTTTACTGTAAAATTCCATTAAATGTAATTACATTTATTCACTGTATATAGTATGGAAACTTACCGTTAACCAATTTTAACAGGTTTTTACTGTAGCATTTTTACAGTCTTTTACTGTTAAAATCACAGTCATGTTTTACAGTGTACTGCAATACAGTAGGAGTTGTATGGCAGTGTATAGTAGGTAATCCGGGTATTCCATGCATACAGAAAATTTGCATACTATGCATACATACTGGATACTGCATAAATAGTAAGAGTAGTATGATATTTAGAACACAGCATATTTTTAACAGCTACTGCTTCTTGAAGCTTCGAAACATCAGTTAAATTCAGAATCTTTTGTGCACGTGAGGCTTCGTTATACTGTTTCTGGTTTTAACTGATCTCGGGTCAGTTTTAGTGTAGGTGTATTTTTAATTATGAATTATGAATTATCATAATACTATACTTGTATAATACAGCAAGGCACGCCCTGCCCAATAACATACAAAACAAGCACTATACATTAATAAAAGAACACAAATGTTACAGAAACTTAATTTTAAAGGTACTTAGTTGTAGATTACATTTAATAGATTACATTTTCTTGCAAACATCTGCAATCAGTTTATAAAAGGTGTAATCATTTATAACCAACTGGTTCAATTGATTCAGAGCTTCGAAAAGCTTTGTTTCTCCCATCACTATGTACCCTAGCTTAAACATAAAAACCGTAGTGTACTTTGGGCTACAGTGAATGTATAACAGCTAAGGGGCGTTGTTAGGCATGATGCGATATTCCATATACGTAGTAAGGTTTCACAAAATAAAACAGAGCATATAAAGTGTAATGATATTAATAAAAACATTATGCTTCCGCTAAACAACGTAGTTCCTCAGAAACGGTTGTGGTTCCAACAAAGTGGTTACCCTGATTACAGTTACATTTATTTTGTAATTAAATTACGTAACGCCGTTACATGTAACTAGTTACTCCCCAACACCGAGTGTAATGATATTAATAAAAACAGTATTCTTCCACCAAACAATGTAGCTCCTCAGAAACAGTTGTGGCTGCAACAAAGTGGTTGCCGAGCAACACACAAACGTAAACAAAGGTGTATGTTACTTTGTAGAGTAATTTCCAACAGCTTCGAACGTGGCTCAGCCAATCAGAATCAAGGACCGGAACTCTCCGCTTTATAATATTCAATACTTTGCTTGTATTAAGGGCGTTGTGCAATAAGGTGGTAATAGCGCAACAATGTTTGGCGAAACTACTGTCTTCGACCGTTAATATTTAAACGTTCAGAAAGCAATAACTAGAATGAGATGTTATATATGTTTATGCTTCTAACAATACTTATTTAGAAAATACGAATTATTTCTTGTTTACAATACGTCAAGAAAGAGTTCTGTCGCTATACGGAAGTGAAGTCGCTGGCTGAGATTCTACCGGAAATACGTAAGCAGTGTTCGTGCATAGAGTCTATTCTAATGTTAGCTCACTTACACAATGAACATTTCCAAAATGATCTTGTTTGTTATAGAACTGTTACATAATATCATAACAACATTATTTTCCTAAGAGGTTTCATCCTCTGAAGTAATTGTACTGATATCAAAGCCCAGAGTGCTATAATTCACAATAATCAGCCGTCTGTGGGCAAGAGCAGCTGTGTAACTTGCATAATTTTTATCAGTACCATTACTGGAATATCTTGATTAATGATTTAAAAGATAATTTTTTTTCGTCAAATTCCTGAGAATGAGAGCTTTCTTGTGATATATGACTTGACTTTTTTGTTAAAAATATATAAAATACACATTCTTCGTAAAAATTATTCGCAATGGTTAGGCGAAAATTCGTGTGTGGGACGAATACATTTCTAAGCTTAATTTTACTGCTTTATGAATATAAACCAAAAGGAATGGTGTTCTTTGTAAAGAAGACACACTCCAAGCTTTCAAATGAACCCATATATGGGCTGATACCATATAAGGAAGGCTATGTAAATGAAGCATAAACATTTTTAAGCGATTTTGTTTAACTGGTTTTAATTATGTAATTCAAAAACTTTGTCCAGCAATGACCACTTTAGTGTCTTTTTACCAAAAACACGTCTTTACTGATTTCTTTTCCGTTCTGTTACGTCATTACACCAGTAGATGGCGACAGGTGAGTGACTCTCGGAGTGAATATTACCAAGGATGGATAACTACATTAACATAAATAGCAATTAACAAATATCACAACAATGCATCATGAACAAGCATGAATTAAAAAATGGTACATTCCTAAATTGTTGTCAAAATTAAAATACATTAACATCAAAAACTTAACATTTAAAAAATGGAACCTTACAGTGTTACCTTTCCTTTTAAAGACAGTCGGAATAAAACAGTGGGATGTAAAATTCACTGAAAACCAAAGATCTCTACAGAGGACATAAATGCATTTTATGAGCCGCAAGAGTGTAATTAGTTAATTAGTACAGGGCTAAAGGCCCTAGTGTTTCTTTCTGATGGGGAAGTTATGTCATTTTTGTATAGCAAAAAGCAAAGGAATTATATAAAAATACAAACAATGGATATTTTAATGTGAGATTGACTTTGAATTTACAAACATCTATCATTTAAATCAGTTTACTGTCGATAACATTTACTTTTAAGAGAATTAGAAGATTTTTAATAAAATTTTTGTAGTTATTTTTTTTAATTCTAAAGTGTTCCAGACAAAGTTGTTTTGAATAAGCACACAGCATATATAGATATGTCACACTAAAAATGTCAGACTGCTCTGAAGTTCAATGCAAAAGCACTAACAGCAGGAGTCTGCTAACAGAGAGTTGCTGAAGCACATGTCACTGCGTGATCTTCCTCCTGGTGGCGCTGTGCGGTTGTTTGGGAGGTGGTGGTCTACTCTTGATGTTCTGGCACTTTGGGATGTGTCTCTCTGCCGGACCTGGGGCAAATCTGCGGCCACAGTGAGGGCAGCTAACATATTCTGGGTTCAGGTTCGAGACTGACTGTGGTGGCACACTTCCTTGACCCTGACGCATGGTTTGAATGAAGGCCTCGTGTTTCTGTCGCCAATTATTCTTCTTGAGCTGTGGATAAAAACAGTAAGACATCAGTAAAGACACGGATAGTACACAGAAAAGCTGTGTTTACCACAAAACACAGATAGTGCTTTAGGAAATTGCAGATGACAAATAACATCATGACAATGTTTCAATATGCAGGTAAATTACAGTCAAATTTGACTTAAATTTGAGTCTGTTCCTCACACTATCATATCACTTAAGAAGACTTCTTTAGTGTACAAATCATTAATTTATGATCATTTTATGGTGTTTTTTTTTTTGCATAATTTTCTGATATGGAACTGTTTATTGTACATACATATATATATATATATATATATATATGTGTGTGTGTGTGTGTGTGTGTGTGTGTGTTTAACATATGCAAAAGTGTTTTTGTTGAGTATCATATTTGGTCGATCAGGCTTTTATGGCTCATATAGTCTGATATAGTGAGAAAATGGAGGGAAAAAACAGCTCAGTTTTATTCAGAGACTCAAAAATATGCAATCTAGGTGCAGATGCTGATATTTATATGATGAAATTCTGATGCTTGTAATGTAAATCAGTGAGGTCTGTATAACAGTACAGCAGATACTGACATACTGATGTCTCAGTGAGATGAGATTGAAATGATCCAAACATATAATGCAGTGATTGAGAGCTGAAGAAATAAAGGCTCCTCAAAAGATCCTGAGGATCAGATTTGAGACTCTAAAACATGATTGATGGAGAATCAAGTAAAGCTGAGCTGCTTCAGTCCAGTAAGTGTTCATCTGGAGATATTACTGCAGTTATTCTGACCTTTACTTGATAAAAATCAGTCAAGATTTGACACGTGAAGCTCCAGCTGAAGCTGGACGTTTATTCAATTACACTAAAAAGTATGAACTATCGGTAAAGCTGTGCTCATCTTGATCATTTAGAGGCCTTTGCATCTCAAATATGATACAGCAGGCTTTATAGAGTTAAAAGAAAGCATCTTACTTCTGGCGTTTTGCTCCTGCTGTTGGTTTTCATGAACTCCTCGAGGTCTGTTCCTTTGGCTCTGTACTGTGACATGTCGAATATCTTACGCGGGGGCCGCTTATTCTCACACACCCTCTTGTGCGTCTCCAGACGTTCTTGTGCGAAGCACCGATGGCACACGTCACATGGGATCACGGCATTCTCCTCCAGACTGAGCTCCAGGCGCTTTCCTCTCTGTCTGGGGTTTCTCTCCGGGACGGCCTCCTTCGTGAGTTTCGATGTGAGTCGATACAAACCGTCTTTATTTTCTCTCCTCTCATGCTTGAGGTGAGGTCTGTCCCTTCTCTCAGAGTCAGATAGATTGGGTTTTCTCACGTCGTCTTCATTGTGCAAATAGAGGTTCTGCGTTGCCCTTCTTCTTCTGACATTGTCCCATCCCATGTTTTGCCTGTTACTCATTTCCCGGCTCCTGTGTTTCGCTGTGTGTTCGTACTCATCCCACTCTCTCGTTTCCTCCAGCTTGTGAGCCTTCGCCATCTCTAACATCAGTGGTTGTTGTCCCCATTTTGCACTGTCTTTGCTCCTCTCCAGCTGGCTACCATTGATCCCTCGCTCCCATTCCCCCCATCTTTCCATATCATCTCTGAATTCCCACTTTTCATTCCCATATGGGTCCCTCTCCTCAGCCCAGTCTCCGTATCCACTACTATAGAACCTGTTGTCCTCCTTTAGCTTTTCTGAATATCTTTTATTCCACTCATCTCTCTTTGCACTGTCCTTCCTCTCTTTTTGGACCCTTCTCAGAGTCTCCTCTGCTTTGAAAATCTTCTCCTGGAGCACCATCTCCTTAGAGTGGATTTCCTTTGACAGCCATGTTTGTGCTTCAAGCCTCTGTTCACGGTCCATATCGCTCTTTGTCTGATTTGTTCTCCCTATTAGATAGTCTGAATTAAGAGCGTCTAGTTTCCTTCCAACCTTCTGCTGGTGCCTAACAGCCGCCTGATCCGTCAGACACGAGTAAAGTCTCTCCTGATGTTCTGGTTTCGTGACGTTACTCAGGCTGTACGCTCTCTTGTGAAGGACTGGTTTTAGAGGGAATAATTTGTCTGACGCTCTCTGTGAAGGAACGTATTCACTCCGCTCCTCCAGATGTATGTGTTTCATCCTATGGATGTTGTCTGGATGTTGGCAGGGTTGTTGTCTCTCTCTCGTGGAGCTCATCGGTCCCTCTTGGTTTTCTAGAGCATGCGGTCTGGAGTTGGGATGAGCTCCTGAGGGACTGCGCTGTCTGCTCATGCCCTCTCTGTGCAGGTACGGAAGTTTTGTTGATACGGTCTCTTTTTCCCAAAAATGCTGCGTGAATTGATGGTGTGGCATCGTTTGCATGTTCATGCAGCGTGTAAATCTCTGAAACAGCTTCGGTCAACCTGGGGTCAACACATAGACATGTCTTTAAAAATGGTGGAGGTGTAGATTGTTCCTGTTTCTTCTATCTAGCATATATTTACATTACCTGGTCATTGGGTCTAAAAAAAAGCTAGTCATTTGCTGGTCTCATACTTTTTTTACAGGCAAAACCATTGTTTTATTTATTTTTTGACAGTATTTCCTGATTTATGGAGTGATAATTTTTTTTTTTTTTAAATCTCTGTACTGTAAAAACCTTTAACTTTTAATCAAACAAGAATTTTAAACCTGGCTTTATCCAATGTTCAGATTTCAGTTCTGGAAATATATGCAGATTAGTGCATATTTAATTTGGATGTTTAAACGTAATATTACCGATGTCTCATACCGCAGCTGGTGAGAGTATGTTTAAAAATCCTCTTAACCCTCTTGGCTTAATCAGCACATTTTCATAAGCACTTAGACATTAGCCTAAAGATATTTAATATCTATTTAGCTTCAAACTTACCGGCGTGTGCTTTCTGTGAATGTAAACGGGTTATCAATGTTTGAAGAGTTGTGTTTACACTCGTTGCTTAGAAACAAGACGACGCGGATTTCCTGCACATTTGGCTAGTTGCGTCAGACGTCGTGCCGTAACCCGGATGTCCGACGCGCTGTGATGCTGCTGCTGCGCATGTGCGGCTTCATGAGCGACACAGTAAGTTGCTTCTTCACGTGTGAAATAAACTGCATTTGAAAAGCCAGTGAAGTCGATTTGACTTTGGATTTCAGAAAGCAGAGAGCCTTTTATTATCGTCCATCTGCCGGTACGGTGTACAGTGCGCATCTCATGGTTCAGATGGAGATGCTGTGGTCTGAGCTCTTATAATGATTGCTTGAGGTCAGTGGTTTGTGTTTCAGGTGATCATGTCCTCTGAAGAGCTGCTGTGTGTAGATTATGAGGTGTTTGGGAGGGTGCAGGGCGTGTTCTTTCGGAAACACACCCAGGTAATGTAATCGTATCGTGTATAGGGGCTAGTTGTCACATGATTTCTACATTAGAGGCGTGTGTGTGTCTCTTAAACATCACAGTGTCATCAGCAGAATGCATGCATAGATACTAATGTGTCTTAAATGCAATGTAAGTGGAAAGTTTTAAGCTAATTGTAAACAGTAGAGCAATTATGAAACATAAAACATTTAGGAAAACAGTAAAAAAATATATAAAAGGTAACACAAACATGTTAAACTGTTGTAGTGGCCAACAGTTATTGTGAATAATAAATTGTGTAGAATTGCAAAACATAAACCCACAACCTGTCCTGGACAGATATTTCTTAAAAATAATCTTGTCCTGTGAACACAGTTCAACATTTGGTTAAAATCTGCTTTCATAACATAATTCACATTATAATCTTTGTTTGTGTTTGTTTGTGTGTCTCTCTGTGTGTGTGTGTTTGCGAGTGTGTGTTTTTGTTTGTGTTTGAGTGTGTGTGTGTGTGTGTGTGTGTGTGTGTGAGTGTGTGTGTTTGTGAGTGTGTGTGTCTGTCTGTGTGTGTGTGCGTGTCTGTCTCTGTGTGTGTGTTTGTGAGTGTGTGTTTGTGTGTGTGT